ATTGTTTCTGGTCCACCTGTGGCCAAGATTTTGTGCCCTGTCACAGCACAATGGTGTCCCACAACATATGCAAGTCTGTTGCAGTGTGCAAGAAGGTTTCCCTATCTGAGATTCATTTTGTGGCCACCCTCCCCAAAATAATACATCTCATGAGCTTCTGGCCCAGGAAGATCATTCCCTTTGGACAACACCATGCTCATTTCTGCTCCATCTTGTGTCTCCCTCTAGGATGCTCCTGTGGCACTCTGTTCCACAGCCAGGGCTTGCTAGTACTGAGCAGGGCATGGGGCAGTGCTGAGCCCTCCACACTGGCAGGATGCAGCCCACCAACAAGCCAGTTTGACTTGGAATGGTTGTGTGAGAGCAGAAATATGAGATCCCCTGCTGAGTCCCTGAGCATCCCCATTTCTGGCTATAAACCCCCCTTCCAAGGAGGAGTCTTTAGAGAGTTGGGCTGAGATGATCCACAAGCCACAGCCATTCCCCGCCCCCTCCCCAAGAAGAATTGCTCTCACACAAATGAAATGTGTGTAATTAATGGGCAAGGGGCTGGACAGGTCTGAGATGAAAGCGTTTCCTGGACTTGTCCTTCATTTGCATGGTATCAGAAGCTGTTCAGAAGGTGTGACTTTTCCCACAGGGAGCCCTCAGTTCGGTGGCACAATAAAGCCAGAACTTCTTACCCAGAATTAATTAAAGGAGGGGGAGGGGATGGCAGGGAAATGCTTGAAAGCTGAGCCTGATGCAATAAACAAACACCCCAGTCATCCTTTCCAAGCTAGAGTATGCCCAAGGGAGCCTGGGCAAGCCCCAGCCCTGCTACAGTATCCCACAGCCCACCCCACTCAGTGGGCATCCCCAGGCAGGCCTCATGGAAAAGTTGTAAAGTGAGAGAAGGGCTGGAAGCCGAGACAGATGTGCCAAAAGGTTTGGCGCTTGGTGGATCAAGCCCTGGTGCAGCCCCTGCTTGGACAGCACAGACCTCTTTTCTTGCCACTTCAGTTTATTCCTGCCCATCTACTGTTTCTCAGCTATAGAATCATATAAAGTTTTGGGTTGGAAGAGACCTTAAAGATCATCTAGTTCCAACCCCTCTACCATGGGCAGGGACACCTTTCATTAGGTCAAGTTGCTCAAAGTCCCATCAAACCTGGCCTTAAACACTTTGAGGGGTTGACCATCCGCAACTTCTCTAGGCAACCAAAGCAGGACTTAACCAGAAAATAGCTCTTTATCCTGCCTGACATTGAGTTGGTGTATTCACTCCACATTTACTTCTTACCCTGCGTTGGTCGGCTGAACCAGAGGGACTTCTCAGTGATCTCATGAGGCAGACTTCCCCAAATGTTGCTCAGCTTCAACCTTGTCACTGTGTCCAGATGGCATCGCATGGTGAAGCCCTGTATGGGCAGGGACATGTATGCAACTCTGCCTGGAGCTTGGGAAGGCACAGTCATCCTTTCACTGACAGTCAGGGCAGCAAGGCTCCTCTCCTGCTTCATCTGCCACCTCCCTCCAGCCAGCTGGTGGAACAGCATTAGGAACAGGAACATGCTCACCACAAGGACTTTGCTAGCTCAGAGCAGGGGTTTTTGCCCAGAACACCCACACTAATAGCATGAGTTAACAGAAGTAAACACCCACCTCCAAAGCCTCCCATCCCCAGCACTCTCTTGCATCCAGTCCTACCTCAGTGTCCTGCAGTCTCCAGAGCCTTTTGATGGCTGTGATTCCTAAACTTGATCCACACATCTGCTGATGATGGGAAAAGTCCCACATTCCTGAGCTGATTATTGACCCTACGCATTCTACCAGCAGACAGGGTTTCTGCAACCTGGGAGGAACAGCACGTACCACCAGGGACTGTCCCCACCTCCCTGCATGGGTGGTGGGAGCTACCATCCCTGAGGACCACGTGCTTAGGACCCTGCAGGGCCCAGGTCTCCAGGAAGAGCATGAGCTCCTCCAGCCGTACCAAGGACTAAGTGGTATCAGTGCAGAGACAGGGTATGAGGAACCATTAATTAATTCACTTACTCATTAACTAACTAGTAGTGGTCTCTTTAATCTTCCAAGCAATGGTGAAACAACCTTTGCTGGCTGGAAGCTGAAACTGGACAAATTCAGGCAATAAACAAAAGTCCCAAGCTGTAGTGCTCCTAGGTAGCATGGCTGCCCAAAAGCCCTTTAATGAATGTTGCCTAATTAACCACAGACTAAGTGAGCTGGAAAAGCAGGGGCTCCCCTCCCAGGAGGCAGCCTAGGTGCCTTTCAGTGTGGCAGAGTAGATCACAGGAATTAGGGATGGTGTGGGGTACAGAGCTGTGCAGGTTCACGGGAGTGTTTGTATCAGCTCAAGCCCCAGGGTGCTGGATGCTCCCTGCATCAGCCCTTGGCTGCATCCCAGGATGACAGGGTTGGAGGAAAGCTACCTTACTGGAGGCTGAGCACCCATGCCCTGCCCTTCCCTGGCATCTCTGGGGGACACATAACAAGGCAGAAGACATGGAGCCTCAGATTCACAAAGCCATTAGGAAAAGCAACTAGACAAACCAATGAAAGAAAAGCACCTGTTAAGGACTAACAAATACCAATCTCTGCCTGGGGAAAGGCCAGGAGCCATTCACTTTTAGTTCCTTTAGTCTGTAAACCGCAACATGGGCTTGCCTCAGCTTTGTCATCTTCAGGCTTCTGCAGTCCTTGGGTCCCTCCTGAGACAGTTGGACAAACACAATCTGTGCTGTCCTGTGCCCCAGCCCATGATCTCTGTGATGCAGCGGCGATGCTCAGGTGTAGAGCATGGCCAAGCACTCAGCCCCCCGTAGGTTTCCCTCCTTGAAATCACTGATGTATGTTGCCACCTCAGCTCAGGCCACTGTGTCAGCCAGAGGAAGGATCATCCTCACACCCACGGACAGGGCTCAGCCTGAGCAGCAGCTACGTCACAGGCAGCCCTTGGGATGGCAACACCACCCAGGCTGGCACCAGCAATGGCAAGACTTACCTTGCAAGATTGCTGCATTTAAGCAATTTTAACATATTTCACAATTATATTCTTGCTTGTTTCCATATATGAGACCACTCTATATCTGAATCCCTGTTCAGCTCCTGTAAGCAAGACCCAGCACCGCAGCAGGGTCGAGTATTCACCGAAGGAGAGGACCCGCCAGCCCATTTTGCAGACACCAAGCTCTCCTAGCCTGGAGAGAAGTAAGTACCAGCTTTCTCTCTTGAAAAGCTTCATGTCATGCTTGAAAACATGCTCTGCACATACTCCAGTGCCATGTGGGATCAAGGCTCCATTGCACCATATCCCCATTTCAGCCTGCAATGGGCCTTGATCCCACATGGCAAAGAGGTGGCATCTGTACATTAAACCTGAAATTTGTTGCAAGTAAAACCATGATTTCTGCAAGACTCACCTGGGTCCAAGATCTTGGGGCAGCCTCCCACTTCCCATAGTTCTTCCCTTGGGAAGGAAATTATGCCAACTGGCAGCCTCAGCCCCATCCTGCACCTCACTGTCACATTCCTTCGCCCCTTTCCAACTTGCATCTCCAGCCCCAACCCCTCCCTGGAAAGCATCAGGCTCAGTTAGACTAATACAAACTTTTAATGCACATATTAAATAAATATTTCAATCATTTCATATTCAATTTGTACACAACCGAAACAGAACAAAAATCCTAAAGGAAACAGAAAAAACCCAAACAATCAAAAAAGATTGGATGAAAAGTCACCCCTGGTTCTGGCTCCTATCCAGTGTCTTTGTTTTCCCTCCCTGTGAAGAATAGTTGCTTTAACCCTTTGGAGAGAGTCACAGTCCCAGGGCAGCATGTGCAGAGTGGGGCTGGCTGGGGATGTTCACTCAAGAGATTTAATGTTCCCTTTGGGGTTGGTTTTCTTTTTTTTCTAAATAGACAATTGGGCTTCTGTCAACACAGAAATTTTGAAAGAAACCCTCCCCTTTCGTAGAGGGACAAGAACGTCAGTATTTCTTATCAAAGAGCAAACCTGGAAGAGACAGCTGGCAACTGAAGCACCAACCATTACGACAAAAATATTTAATGTTATGACAAAACAGCCCAAAATGGCTCCACAATAATTTGTAAACTTTTTTTAATTTTACGGATGAAAATTTCTATCTGATAAAAAAATATAGACAGAAAAAAAATGTCAATTTTTGGTGAGAAGTTCACATTTTCCACATGGGAAAAAAATAATACCAGTTACCAGCCTGCTCTATGGCAAGTCATACCTTAGTACTTTAAAACAAACCAAATGCCAAAGACGCTCCTGTGGGTAAGAGGTACCAAGTCAGTTCAGGACTTTCTCTGGGGCATCCATCACCCCTGTCCTCTCCTGAGAAAAAAAAAGTAAGTGAGGAGTTGTGAAGCCAGCAGTGTTCTCAGAAGGATGCAAGTGGCTTCCAGCAACCCCTTGCTCAGCCGGAGAAATAGGCACATCCGAGGAAAGAAAGCATCCAGGGTCCTCACTCCAGGTGTCACAGTCAGCTCCCACGGGCAGTGCCCACACAACACCCAGGCTGCAAAAACCACCCAGGAGGCCTCCAGCCACCTCCAAAATAAATCCCCTCCCCTTAGTTGTTTTCCAGCCTCTCCATCTTCTCCAGTAAGCATTAGTTCAGTTCATTTAAGTAGCACATCACTTCCAGATTTGGATTTCCATGGTTTTTCGCTTGTTTGCTTTAAACATGATTTTTAAACTCCTTTTCCCCTAGAGCTATCAAAAAAAAATAATTACAAAATAAAGCACGACCCCAAACAGACTAGAACGTTTCTAAGTGAAGGGCTCTTCCCCCTTCACCAGTCTTCGAATGTTTCATTACTTTTAAAGCTGGAGTACAAAAATAGAGCCTCTCTCATTTTTTCTTTTTTTTTTTTTTTTTTTTTTTTTTTGTAAAAACCAATACCCCCCCAAAAGTATCAACAACTAGAGCATGTAATTTTTTTTTATCCTCCCCCTCCCTTTTTTTTTTTTTTTGTGTTTTGATTAATACCCAAATGGGAAAGTCTCTACATATAGTCCACCGAGCTCAGAGGAGCATCCTCCAGGAGAGATGCAGGCAGGGGGGCAGGGGCAGACGCATCAAGGGCCTGCCTTGGAGTTGGAGTTTCTAGTCCTTTTACTTCTCCGGTTGAAGGGGTAGTTGAGGAACTCAAAGCGTCTGTGGGGCTCGGTAGTCTGGTGGCCCTTGGGAAGCCTCTTCATGAAATGCACCTCCCGCTGGTGCTGCCGGGTCTTGGAGCCCTTGCGTGGGCGGCCCTTGCGGGTGAAGGCCATGTACCAGCCCTCATACTTGGCATTCTGCAGCGCTGTGTAGTTGTTCTCCAGGACAATCTCCGTGAAGACGCAGTCCTTGCCTTTGCCATTGCTCTGAGAAGGGAATCGGAAGGGAGATTCAAGCAACAGGCACTCGCTCAGAGGGCTGCTTCCCACTGCCCCGCACTGGATTGGCTGGTGTGGCAGCAGGGTTGGACTGCTTGTGGGTAACCAAGAGTTCACTTTTCCCACTTCTTCTCCCACAGGTCAGAATTGCCTAAAATCTGCTTTTCCTTAAAAAGCTGCAGGGAGCAGGCACTGTGGCACAGACAAACACTGCTCATTGCAGCTTGTGACCTTAGTGTGATGCCAGCTGCAAGTCCCAATGCAGTTGGTCTCCGCCTTAACTTCCACCACACCCATAAAGGAGTTTTTGCCTCCATCTGTGCCATGGGCTGAACATGACCATAAGCAAACTCTCCATCTCAATTCGCCTGTCCCCCTGAGGTCTTTAATACAGGAGAGGCATTGAGTGGCAGGAGAAGCGATGTGGGGTCGTTGGTGACAGCACCCACAGATGCAGGTGGCAGAGGGAGCACGGGGCAGCCAGGGACTGAGCTCCCCCCATTATCGGCAGTAGTGGGACTAGGGAGGGACCCACATCGGGCAGCCCCAGCAAGGAGCTGCCATGGAAAATCCTTGCGGAAAATCCTTGCAGAAAATCACTGTCCCGGTGGGATTTTGCACACCCAGTCCCCCGCCCCCTGGAAGGGGCATTGAGGTGCTGAAGGAGCATGACAAACCAGCAGGCAGTGGGGCCTGGCCTTGGGGCCAGCCCCATGGAGCATCTTAACATTCCTGGCACTTGTACCATGTAATCGTGGAGAATAGAGCAGCAATCCGCCTATTTGTTCGGGCAGATAGAAGGAATGTGCCCCACGCGACACCTGCCTGCCTTCCTTGCTCCCCTCCTTCCCTCCGGGCTGCAGGATGGCTTGTCTCCCTGCCCCTAAAAGGGGAGTGCTGACTGAGCCTTGGGACTCCGGTCTCACCTCCCCACCCACACAGGTGAGCTCTGTATCAGGTCAGAGCTCCTCTCCTAGCAGCCCCAGCTCCATGTTCCCAGCAGTTCCCTGCCTTGCCCATGCCCTTGCATCCTACCTTGCCAATCAGCTTCCCCTTCTTGTTCATGCAGATGTAGAAACCTGTGGCTGCCCCTTTGATGCGCACACGGCTCCCAAAGGTGTCTGTCTCCACGATGAGCTTGGCTGGAGAGAGTAGAGAGAGGGAGGGATGTCAGAGGGGCTCTGGGATAGGGCAGGCACAGGTATGGAGACCTCAACAATACACCCTGACGCTTGGGCACTGGGGACACACACTCTCTGGCAACTGGCCAGAGAGAGTCCTAAAATCAGAACACAAGGTTAAGATACAGCCTTAACCCCCCCCCTTACCCTGCCACCGTGTCCCAGCAGGACCTTGGTCACGTCCCTTTGCCACCCTGAGCTGCGCTGGATGGGGAGTAGCTCTGCTTTACCCGGCTCCACGGGGCTCAGTGGTGCAGGTGCCACAGAGGTGTCTCAGATGGGGGCAGGGCAGCAAGCAGGGCACGCACTGGTTGGCAGAGAATAAGGCAGCTGCCCTGCAAATGGAGGCAGGTCTGGGTGGGCCTGCAGGCAGGCTCCAGGCAGGCACCTTCTGGAAGTGCACAGTGTGCTGCCAGCTGTCCCCAGCCCAGGGGACACTGCTCCATGTCTCTCTGCCAGGCCAGGACTGCAGGAGGAGCAGTGACTTTGCAGCTGGCAGGGGAGGCGTGAAGGGTACGGCCATCCTTTTAATGCCTTTCACCTTTGCACGAGTCGAGAGGGCGTATTGATTTGGTCTCAGTTTTTTAATGGAGGCATCGATCGACTTCCGAAGGAGCTATGCAAATTGCCGGGTCGATGGGCCGCCTATAAATAGACCTGTCACCTTCTCTCCCTGCCTTCACCCTGGGAACCCATGCCCCGAAGCCCATCCATCCCCAGGGAAGGGGGAGGATGGGGACAGGACATCCTTCTCCCCGGTCCTGCAGCTGCTATCCCCAGAGCAAGCCCCAGTGGAGGCAGTAGTTACCTGTTTGCACCTCAAAAGGTCTGCACTGTGCCAAGCACCAAAAAATTCCCCGTGGTGCTGAAAAGCCACCTGGGACTGTCCCATCTCAACATCATCACCTCTTGCCCAGCATCAGCTCCTAGTGCCACAAATGCTATTTGACAAGGTAATCAGAGTGCAGGCCACAAAGCTTCCAAGTTTTGGAAACATTACAGGTTTGAGTCCGCTGATGCCTTATTTATCCTCTCTGATCTCTGCGCAAGGGCTGCTCAGTTCCTCAGGACTGCGGTGCACCACAGCTTGCACATCTCTACCCCAGGATGCTCAGCCTCCAGCAAGCCCCAGCGAGGGCAGCGATGTGACTCTGGAGTGGGAGGCTCTGCAGGAGGATGCTTTGAATGGCAGAAGGAGGATGTGGGTACACACACAAGCTAAAGCAAGCCTGAATCACGATCTGGGCTAGGAGTAAATTTCCTCTCTGTCTCTGTAATGCCTTCATCCTGCATCCCTCACATCATGGACACTGTTGAGGTCAATGGCACTGAGGGGGGGAAGAGCAAACAGTCAGTGCTGGCCACAGTTGAGTTGACCAAGGAAAAGATCATCCCAAAATTTGCTGGGGCCAACTGATTTGGTGCTATCAGGCGGGCCAGACTTGATATGCACACAGGTACCCCCTCCATGCACTCTCTCCTGTCAACATCACCCTGCAGCATCTCTTGTCCCCAAACTACCCTGCACCCATATCCCCCTACTCCCAGGCAGTCACAGACTGAACTCGGAGCCTGGAGGAGTGAACTCCAGGCTGTGCCACCACAAGCGCCCAGGGCCTGGCAAGCACCTAGCATCCCCAAAACCAGCCATGGGAGCCATGGCACTCTGCAAACAAAGCACTGAAACAGTGACCCCCTATTTATCTATATTGGGGAAAGGGGGGGAATTGATCTCAGAGGCAGTAAAAGGTTTGAGGAGAATTGATTTTTCTTTCTCAGAGATAGAAAGAGGTGGGAGGGAGGGAGGGGGGGGACGAAGAGGGGAGGGAGGGAGTGGGGAGGCCTTGGCCCCAGTGAGCACAAAACCCTGCTTTAAAGATGCATATTGGTTCTCTTTTGGACTTTTTCCTTTTTTCTTTTTGTTTTTGTTTTTTTTCCCCCAAAGGGCAGCTGTGATTTACAGCCACCAGACGGGTTTGCTGCCCTGCCAGTGTGTCGCTCTGGCCCCATCATCCACGGAGGATGAAGACAACCTGGCCCCAGGGCCATGCAGCCCTAGACCCTTGCAGGCAACTCATGAACACTGCAAACTCTGGCCCCAGCCAGCAGAAAACCCTGGGCACAGACAAAAACCAGCAAGTGGGCAGGGAGCTGTGCTGGCATCCCCAGCTGCCCATGGGGTCGACTCCAGGCTGCAGCTGGTAGCAGTTTTCTTGGTGGCAAGCATGGCCCAGGAGGGATGAGCTGGACTGCACTGGCTGCCTGCCTTCCCTTAGAATTAAAAAAAGTCAATCAAATATTGACAATTAAGACAAATAACTGAAAACGCCGGACTCGATGTTAAGTCGGCTGTAAAAATGTCAGCGTGGGGAAAGGGGTCATCTGCAAAAATAAATCAACCCCCTTTACACGCCCACCCCCAAAAATGAGACAAAAAAAAGCAGAAGGAAGGGCTTGGGGAAGGAGGAACTTTGCTGCAAAAGTGGATTTCTAAATAACATTTGGGGGTAGTCCTTTTTTCCCCCCCTTTTTTTGAGGTGGCAGTGGGGGAAGCTTAACGTTTTCAACTCTATTCTTTCATTTAAGTGACAGATTTATCCCAGTAAAATTATGTTTCATGCTCAAACTTTGAAGGGAAAGTGGCTACGTAAATGCTGAAAAAATGCAGCGAGACACACTTGATCCCCCAACTGGACTGCGAAGAGGAGAAAGTATTCAGGAAATGTTAAAAAAGGTGAAAGTAAGAAGCGTTTTAATAGTTCTTCCAGACATGGGGGCCTCCCTAGAGATTCATACAGAACAATCCTGAACCTCTATTTTAACATTTACAGACTTGCAACTCTTTTAAAACTTTACATCTGAAAAACTGCTTGTTCTCTTTCTGGTTTAGATCAGTCTTCATTTTCCTCCTTAGCTCTTCAAATGCTTAACCTTTTTTTATTACATTTTAATAGAGTTTTTCAAGCCACCACAAGTCCCCTCCTTCTGGCCTTATTTAAACCTGGTCTTTATTTAAATAAGCACTAACTGTTTTTTAAAATCCAGGCATTAGAGGTCTAAAACAAGATGGGATTTTTTTCCTTGGGAAATTAACTACTGCCCTTTCAAGCTAGAGCTGCTCTGGGGCGGGAATAATTCATTTGGAAGATTAATGTTGGATGTATGGAATATCATATAGATGGAATCTGCACTGCGCTTGCACTGCTAACATCCAGCATGAAATTTTCAGCCAAAGCAAAATGAAGAAAAACCAAAAAGGAACAAAATACAAAACAGAAGGGTAAGAAGAAAATTGTTTCTACTAATGTCCTGAAGCAAGAAAAGGAAATTGCAGCTAATACCAAAGAAAAACACTTGTGATCCCTACATACAGCACACAGGAACACGGGCACTTCCCTGACCCAGGCGCAGGATCAGGTCTCCCGCAGACGGCCCCGCGGAGCGCCGGGGCTCGCTGGCCCCACTGACCCCTGCGTTTGACTGTCCTAATGTGTCATTAGCACACACCATCAAAGTATTTGGGCTTCGGGTGTCCTCAGCGGAGCGATCGGTCCCCCTGCCCTGGAGAAGGTGGAGGATTTGGGGAGAGGGTGCCAGGGCAACGGCAGAGGGGCTGTGGCAGAGCGCAGGCTCTCACACTTGTGGAGTCCCTGCTTTGTTTCTGGAGATGCCACAGCATCTTCACCCGCAGCTGACTGCCTCCCTGACCCTCTGTTTGGGATTTGTTTTGAGAAGGGAGGGATGGGGCTACAGCAGGAAAATGCCACTTCAGACAGTCCTAGTTTAAGGAAAGCTTCCACAGCAGGCATCCCTACTTTCTCCTTCCTGTCTCTTCTTTTTCAACTTTACTTCTGATTTCTGTTTCAAAAGGAAGTCTCAGGGATTCCCATCCCTGCTAAGAGCTGAGATGAAATGACTGATGACACTCAGGATGTTGGAGCACTGAGCCCTCTGAGTCAGGTGCAAACCAAGAATAAAAAGGAAAGGAGCAGAACCCATCCTGCCAGCACCAGTCCCCTCCCTCAGCACAGGGAACCTGCCCTCACCTTGAATCACGCAGCTGCTGATTGCTGACCCCTATGTTCTCCCTTTACAAGCCCCCACAAGCTGAATGATTTTAATGATTTTTGGCTAACAAACTGGACGGAAATCATCAATCGCCACGCTGGGCTGCAAACACCTCCCCAGCTCCCCCCCCGCCTGCCCACATCGTGTGTCCTTACCGTGCACATCCCCATCCTCTGCCATCGCATTGATTTTCTTGTTGTCCAAGATCTGCACATGTTTCCCACTGGTCCGGCTGTACAGCTGGTAGGTACGGACGAGCCGCCGGCTGAGCTGATCCGTCACCAGGCTCTGCTCCCTCACATGCTGTGTAAAATTAGGTGGGGACTGAACAGTTACCTTTAGGAAATTAAAAAATATACAACACACCATTATAATCTCTACTCCTCAGCGGGGCAAATGGGCTGAGCTGAGATCACCGGCCTCCAGCTGATCTTTACAGGGAGGCAGGGAGCCGGGACCACGGTGGTGCCTCCTGTGCCATCAAAGCCTCTCTAGGAAAAGGAGCGTTAAGCTCTGGGACACAACAACCAGAGCCCTTTACAGAGCTGTGCCCACTCCAGACGTGCCCTAAGGTGACTCAGGAGTACGACAGAGCTTGGTGACCCCAGAGGCCCCCCCCCAGGTCTCAGTGGGACCCTGGCACTGGAGTACCCAAGATGGGCATCAAGGCTTAGAGCTAGAGGGAGTTGGGGGGGCATGGAGGATGGCACAACCCCAAGGGGCTGATGCTTGCATCCCACACCCCTCTCACCTCTGCAGGAGCATACTACTGCTCCAGCTGCCCCAGGCACATACGCCAGCCACTGCCCCATCAGTTTCAACAGCTCCCTTTCCTCTGGATCCCAGACTCTTTATTTGCTCCCAAACACCACACTTATTAAGCTCTTCAAATACAAAATCCACGAAGAAGGTAGAGTTATGAGGTATAAGAGTTATAAGAAAACCATACCCCAGCCCAGGTATTCAGTGATATAACAACCACCTAAGGATACTAACATGCTACTCATGCAAACACATCCCTCATCCACAGTCAGCTGTCTGGTGCCAGCAGCGGGGATGTCTCCAGCCCCAGTACAACAAACCCGTTAGCCCTGGAGCCGCAGCTGAGCCCATCCCCTCCAGACCCGACGCTGCTGCTCCTGGGCTTTAAATGATTTTCATGAGCAGCCAAACTTGCTCCCCCCTCAGCTCTGGATCATGAGCTGGCACAGAATTCTTTTTCCCCCCTCGTCTCAAATCCCTCTTTTAAGTCTGGAAAGTTTCGCTGCTCCCTGACATTTATAAAGATGTATTCTGAGCAAATGTTAGGAGATAGCTCCTTTCAACATCAGAAGGCTGGGACTACCCCCCACCACCCCCACGTCAAATGGGAAGATTTCCTCCTGTCTTAAACAACAACAGAAAAGCACAATAAAAGCAAAAGCTGCTGCTCTCCTGAAGCTGGCTTTATAGAGATATCTCCCCTTGACGATGTCATCTCTCTCCCTCTGCTTCTGCCTGTGCATGTGTGTTTCCTATAGACGGGTTTTGGATAATGCAGCAGGATTCTCTCCCCGGCTCTGATGAGGGTACCATGTGGAGGAGAGGTCATTAGCCATGCTGCTATTTGGTCTCCATCTCATACTTCAAAATATTACAGCTATGTTTTTATACAACTGCACGCTCCCAGTGCTTCATTCTCTTCACTTTTCAGCTGGAAACTCAATTTTTTCCCCCCCAAGCCTCCAGGAAAATAATAATAATAAAAAAGTAGCTTAAAGGGCATTTTAAACAAAGCTCCTACACCTGTGATCTCAGGAGGAAGGAGGGCTTCACCCCAGTTTGGAGGTGCACCGCTCCCAGCAATGTGTGCCTGCTGGTATGCGGGTGTTGCACAGGCTCTGCCTGGGATGTTTAATCTATTCGTGTCACTTCTGTCTCTGGCAATACAAACCAGCGATGTTAAAGTCTGACAATTTTAAGCTGAACCAAAACCTGTGCTTTTTACTAAGGTTTTGGTGGGGTTTCTTTTCCCTCTTTTAACTCTGCTTTAATTTTTGGATAAAGCAGCGTAGGGGGAAAAAAACGGAGAAGAGGAATGGGGGTATCCACGGTGTAATTTAGAGGTCGGGGGAACGGGATTTAAAGCTACTTAAAGATAACCCTGCGCATTTCCTTGAAATCACCGTACTCCCTGCCTCGCAGCCCGGGTCCCCGGCACCTTATTTTGCGGCCCGGGCAAGGGGCTGTTCCCCCTCAACCACGGCTTTTTACAGCCAGGCGACTTTTGTCTCCTGGGTTCTAAACTGTTCTTCTTTCCTGTCTCCCTCCCTGCCGAGCCACTCGGCGGCGGCGGGGCACCCCCCATCCCCGCGGGGTGAACAAAGCCGGGCAGCCCAGCGGGCACTTACCTGGGCTTGCAGGCAGAGGACGAACAAGTGCATTAACCTGGGAGGGGGAAAAGCGGGAGAGAGGTGTGAGCCGCGGGGGCTGCGGGCGTGGAGCGGTAGGGCTGGGGCTGCCGGTACTCACACGTAGCTGAAGAGCGAGGAGCAGGGGTCCATCGCGGCGCCGATGCGGAGCCGGGGGCCCGGGGCCCGGCGGCGGCGGGGAGAGCCCGCGGGGGCGCGGCGCTGCCTCAGCTCCTCGGTTCCTCTCGCCCTGCCGGCACGTCCTCGCCCCGAGGAAAGGAGGGCACAAGCGGCTACAGAGGGGAAAGGCCCCGCCGGCCGGCCCGCCCGCACGCCCAACCCCCGGGGCGCTCGGCCGGCGACCGCTGCCGCGGGGCGCCCCCCGCCCGCTCCGCTCCGCGGCCCCGGGAGCCGGCGAGGCCGGCCCGCAGCCCCGACGACGGGGGCGGGCACGGCCGGGGAGCGGCAGCCGCGGCGGGGAAAGCCCGGCGGGACCCCCGCTCCCTTCCCCGGCCCGGCGGTACCTGCCGAGGCGGTACCCGCGGGCGGCGGGCCAGGTGTCGCCGGGGCTGGCTCGGGGCTGCCACTAAGGGCCGGGCTCCGCGGTCAGTCGCCGGCGGGACTCCCTCCCCACTCCGTGCCTCAGTTTCCCCATCCGTAAAACGGAGTTTAAGGACTGAGAGGGTGGGTCAGGGACGCGGTTGCCCCCGCTGGGGGTTCGCCGCTCCGCGAGCGCATTGTGGATTGGGAGCGGGCGAGCGAGCCCTCCCGGGACGTGCCAGACATTAAAAGGATTACCGGGGGAGGGGGATGGAGGGGGCCGGAGTTTCGAGAAGGAGTGAGGCTGAGCAAACACCGCAGCCGGGGTGGGAAGAGAGGAGCGGGACACCCCGTTTCTTCCCGAGCATCCCCGCCGGGCGCTTACCTTGTGGGGCGGGCGGGCGCCCTCAGGGCCGGCGGTGCGGGGCCATGGGGCCAGGCGGCGGCGGGACGGGGCTCAGCCCCGCAGCCCGGGCAGGGCCGCCGAGGGCTGCATTGTTCCGGCGAGCCCCTGCCCTCCCGGCCCCGCCACCTGTTGAGCACCGGGGCGGGGGCTGCGGCGGGGCTGCGGCGGGCGGCCCCCGGGGCCGGTACCTGGCCGGGGCCGGGGCCGGCGCCGCCTGCTCGGCGCTGAGTGACAGCTGCTAATTTGCCGGCCGTGCCCCGCTGCCGGTCCCCGCGCTCCCCGCGCCCTCCTTTATCTTATCAGAGCCCATAATTACAATTGCTATTTTGCTTCCTCGAATCAGCAATCAGCGCTATCTGCCGCCGTTGGAGAGGCAGCTCCTGTCAGCCGCCCCTGAGTGACAGCGCGGCGGCTGCCCCGCCGCACAAGCACACACACCGTGCATGGCCCGCCTGCACACGCACACAGTCCTGCACACGCACACAGTCCTGCACACGCCTGTGCAGCCCTCCTGCACACGCACATACATGCACACACACACACACACCCCCACACACACATTCTCCACAGTCCCTTTCACACACGCACAGCTCGCACACGCGTGCAGCCTTTGCCATGAGGACCCCTCCTTCTCACACCCCTCACACACCGTGCACCCCCCAGCACAGAAACACACACGATCCTCTTTGCTTACCCCTACCCCCAAAATACACCCCTCCACCTCACACACACACACACGCACCAGCTGCAGCCATGGAACATTTCTCTCTCTCATGTGCACCCAACTTGAGCACTTTACCCCTTGCTCAGGCACCCAGAAACCCTAGACAGAAGTGCACCGCCAGCTCTCCCCACCACACACTTAGTGTGTTACCCCAAAACACTGCCTACTGTCACCTTTGGGAAGGGATCTCCCAGGGGTCTCACCTGATCTTGTCCAGTATCCCCACTGCTGAGGGGTGCAGAAGGCAAGCAGGGGAGCCTGGGCAGTGCCCCATCCCTGGGTTGACCCCACAGGGCTCAAGGAGAAAAACAGCCCCTACATCAGTATCATCAGACCCAGCAGAGCACAGGGCGAGCAACTGCCTTGTGCTGGCCAAAATTCCCACAAAATCAAAATCAGCCCCTTGTTCATTTTCCTTACTTTTTTTTTTCTTTTTAATGCAAAAAGTCATAAGGATGTTTCTGGGGGGTCTCCTATGTGTAGAAAAAGGTCTTAGGCAAAGTCTGTGTTTAACTGGAAACATTTAGGGGCACCACAGGAATGGGCAGGCTGAAACAGGAGGTGGTTTTCAAGGGCAGTGCACACAGATTGTCAGTCCAGCACACAGTCAGAAAAAAAAACCCTCCATGTTGAGCTGTGTGAATAGTTGATGTACCACAGCACAGTGGTACACATCCACCTGTCCAGGTTGCCTAAGGAAAACCAGGCAAAACCAGAGCAGGAAGCACTAGATACTCCTGATGCTCTAAATCTCTAAATTCAGACAATCCTAATTTTTTAATATACAAAAAATTCAAGGGATTTAGGAACTGTCTGTTTTGCAGATGACATTCTTCCTCACCAGTGGCCACCTCTGCTTTACCCTTGGTGGGCACAGGTTCAAGCCATACGTTATCCTGCACACCACACTCTACTCAATAGCACCGTGTCCAGAACAGCCCAGGCTGCCTTAAATCGGGAGATTTATGGTGTCCTGTACGAGGTCAGAGGCAGCCATGAGCTGACAGTCCCGCATGCCCCCTGCCCTCAGCAAACAGGCTCAAGTGCCAGTCATGGCTGTAAAATCAAGCCGGTGTGGGATCACCCAGGGGTGGCCACACTTCATCTGACAGCGGATGACTGACGACACTCCTGCCAGCCATCCTCGGGTCCACAGCCAAAGCCTCCACAGCCCCCATCCTACCCTACCTTTGAGAACAGAAAAGACAAGCAGGTTGGTGACAGCAGCCAGGGACAGGCAGTGTCACAGCTGCTGGGCTCATCCTACTTCTCCTGCTGTCTCAGCTTGTGGCCACAATCTGCTCCTTGCAGTGAAGTTGGATGCCTTCATAGAGGCATTTGCCTTCTTCCCTTGGTGCTTCACAGCCCACCCATGTTTGCATCAAGAGTGACACACACCTCTGCTTTTGTTTTTTAAGAGAAAACAAACCTTTTTAGATAGGCTCTCCTGTGCCAGGCAGCACAAGGGAAATCAGTCTGCCTGTCAGCTCCTTCACAGGCCATCTGAGATAAGACCCCTGGTCCACAGGGTGAGGGTCCCCTCCATTCCCAGGCACTGAGGCTAAATGGCTTTTCTGGCTCTCCTGTGGAGAAGAGAAACTACGCCCTATGCTCCTGAGACCAGCTGTGCCTCAGGTCAAACTGCTGTGGAGCTGGTGGAAGAAAGCCCTTCTTTGTCTCCAAGAAAGACTTGGGGACCTGCTGTGCCCCCAAGTGCTCAAGCAGCCAGTGGGCTGTGGCTCCTGTGGGAGGCTACTAGCATGGCTACTAGCATGGTCCCATCAGATCCCATCCTGCTGCCCCACTGCTCCATTGCCCTGATCTGCAGAACTGGGACCATGTTTAGGCTGGTCGGGCACAGGGGTGATTTCCTTCAGAGAAAGCTCATGTACTTTATGTTATTCAGGGATGTCAAATGCTGCAGATGAAGCATCAGACAACAGAGACGTTAGCTGCACCCCTCCCAACCCTTTTCCCATAAATCTGAGGGTACCAAGGTGCAGCTGTAGGGCTACAACACCAAGAAGGAGCAGAGAGAGGAACCAGGAGATGGAGATGTCTGTCCCAGCCCAGCTGAGGTCCAGGCTTGCTCTCAAACTTTTCCCGCCTCTCTCTCCCCTTCGCATCCCACACAGAGCCTCCTGGCAGTTGGGAAGTGTGAAGGCAGCTCCTGGAGTAGCCTAGACTGCAGTAAGGCAGTAAGCAGACCAGGAGAGGACTTGGGATGGAAGGGACAGCAAGTGAGTGACTGTGAGACTCTGGGAGTAGTCTGTGCCACTGTACAGCAGAGACTGAAGAGAGCACAGGGGGTGTTGTGGGAGGTTCTTCCCATTCCCCTAGTGACGCTCAGCACTGAGCCCCCTCACCCAGGGCCACCTCAGCACCATGCCTGCTCTCTCCCAGGATGTCCCTTTGTACATCTGTAGGATACAACTGTGTTACAACTCCAGCTTCCAGCCTGCTTCTTCGCCATCTTCATATGGCCCAGTCCAGGTCAGAAGTGGTCCACAGACACCCTTCTCCTTGTGCAGAGTGAGAGATGGCAGCATGAGATCCTGTTCCCCACAGGATATCAAAGCCAGCAAGGTGTAACTGTTATCAGCTCTTCCGTGAGCTTCAGTCTGAAACCTCCCCACAGCATCCCTTATTTCAGAAAGGCAGAGCCAAGAAAAGAAACACTAACCACAGCTTTAGGGGCAACCAATCCAAACTGGGCTGAGTGGAGACAAGGGCTCCTAGCAAACTGGGAGTTCACATCATAAGAGGAGACTGGGAGAATTTGGGGTGAGTGGAAGCCAGCAAAACACCCACATGAGTTTTGCCTTGAACACCTCTTTTGGGGGGAACTATCAGCAGACAGTTTCAGGCAAAACTATCTGTTGGAGAAGGAACTGGGACATTGCTGTCAGTCCCAGAGAAGGGCCAACAAGCACAGTTCCCTTCTCCTGCCAGACCATGGACATAGACATGGCCAGACCATGGACATAGCACTAATCCTGACTGATGTAGGAGAGCAGCACCTGCAGCAGCACACTGCAAGGCTGAGCTGGCTGGAGGGCGAGAAGAGCTCCTCTCTGCAGGTGCGGAGGGCTTGGACAGTCTGCACAGAAGTTGCCTTTGAAAGAGGACAGACAGCGTAGGCAGTGGGGTGGCTGGCATGGGACTGAGGGTTAGCCAAAGGCTGGGGCACACCAAGGTGAGGACCTTGAAGTGCGGGCAGCACTGCCCTGCACCCGAGCACCTCCCTCTGTTCCAACACCATAGGAAGGAGAGCCAAAATGCACAGGATCCTGTAATGCTTTACAGCCATTCCTGGAGGATGCTTAGCCATAAACCAGCTTTTTCCACCCCAAAATAAACACATGGAGGCTTCCCAGCAAAGCCAGAGGGATGCTAGCCCGTTCCACCCTCACCCTTCCCAGCCCTGCGGCCCAGTGCCCCCAGCCCTGCCTGCTGATCCTTCACCACAGCTTTAATGGGGCGTTTCAGAGGCAACAGCAGCTCCTCCATGGCTGAGCAGCACAG